TCTCTCTCTCTCTCTCTCTCTCTCTCTCTCTCTCACACACACACACACACACACACACACACACACACACACACACACACACACACACACGTGCAGACATACACAGACAATACCAGCTTTTGCCCCTCTTGAGTCTCCCCTCACAGGTCTCCAAACTCTTCACCCCCTGACAAGGACTTGTTCCTCTCAAACTCTTAAGCTTCCCCCTTCTCTATAGCCTCTTCAGAACGAGGACAAAGGTCGGAAATGACTGTTGGTTGTATCTACAATATCATCAAATACTAAAACAAAAAAAACACGAAAATTGATGAGGGAAACAACTTTACCTAAAACCTGTTAATCACACCTTCCCTCGCCATTCCAATGCATCACCCTGCTCATTCCACTACTACACTTTTCGTGCTGCTATCCGCCTTCAGCCTGCATGCAGCTTTTCAGACCTGGGAGAGATTATAACTCACGGTGTGCAATGCAAGCTTCCCTGTTCCTCTCCGGACATCAGCCTGATCAGTTTAGTTACCTTTCCCAACCTTTGAGGCTTGGCCTCTTCCTGCTTTGGTTTTGCCTCCCCGCCGTGGACTCTGCTTACTTCCCTTGCTTTTGCCTTTGGCTGAGCAGGGACGTTTCCGTGACGATGCATCGACAACCGAAACATGCATGAGACCCGACACAATCATCTTCGGCGGAAAGAGGCCCCCTTGATGGCATTGCTGTCTTTTGTGTTGCGTCCTCTCATTCATATGCCGTCTTCCATGCACACTCATCCTTGCTCTCACTTGCTCCAGATCCACCACAGCTCTCAAGGCCTTTCTGAGCTCCGAAAGCTTCATGGTAACCCTTCCCAGTTGTTCTCTAACAGACGCAACCGTCCCGCCACTCGAAGGGTCCTCGTTGACATCACTTCCACAACCTGCCAAGGCTTCAGTAGCAGCTGCCACAGGCTTGATAACAGCCGCTTCGTCGGCTTCCACCTTTACCAACGCCTGCCTGCCGTCCACAGCTGCCATCTCCGCTGCTTGCTCCTCTTCCACGGGTGCAGCAGTCTTCTCCACCTCCTTCCCCAATGCGACTGTCCACAGCTTCCCATTCTGAAGATCCCACAGGCATCCATTCTTCCTCCTGCTCTTTAGTGTCTGCCTGCGGATATCCTCGTCATCAGCTGGGTGGCGTTCATCTACATTCCGATTCGCCACCGCACCGACGAGCAGCACCTGTTGAAGGCCCCTGTCAACCTTATCATCAACTGCTTTCCCCGCCGGGTCCTGTCCTTCCTCTACCTGCATGACTGCATTGGATACTGCCCGAGTGACGTCGTCAGGAGTAACTCGGACGTCATCTTTTCGATGCGATTCGTCGGCTGCTCGTGCTTGACCAGCCACAACAGCTGCCTGCTCAGCAGCATGATCACCAAGCACAGGAGTTGCGAGGCATCGACCTGTCGGTAACCGCTTCCTCTTTTTATTCTTCTGCACAAACCATCCTGCTGACGAGGCGTTCGCCAGGAAATTCATAGATGTGGCAGACGAAGAAAGACACGAGCTGCCTTGCATGGCTGCTTGCTGCGGTTTGTCGGCAGATGAGGCCACAGCAAGCTTTCCAGAGAGAATATCGGGGACTCCACTTCCATCAAGCGGACATGCAGAAACTCGCATGCACACATCCTCAAAATTGCCAACAAGCTTTGGGAGGGTTTTAACCGCCCCAACTGCAGAGGCCACTCTCGCATCGGCTGGAGAGTTGTCCTGACATGGATGACCAACCAACTCCACAATCCTGGATGACGTGGTGTAGAGCGAGCAATCAGGGCTAGGGGATGGAGAGGAAAGGAGGAGGGGGTTGCATCGAGCAATATAATCACCCATGGCATGAAACAGACGGCCTATACCAGCAGCAAATGGATTCTCATTTGGATGAAAGAGGAGCGGACAAGCGGAAGCAAATGGAGAGGAGAATATGAAAGGTCGGTAAAGTGCAGGCAGACAAACATGTGCAACTGGGGGAGAGCAAAGGCATGGTAGAGGAGAGGTTGGACTTGCAAGATGAAGGAAGGCAGCATCACTGACAGGGATGCAAAGATCGTCATGGTTGGCGAACACAGAGCTTCTGCAGAGCATGTTGCTGATGAGCAAATGGCTGTCAAGACCCCTGATGATGATGGGCTTCGGTATATCTAGCTGAAGCATCTTATGCTGCCAACTCCGTAACCATAAATCAACCTATCAAGTGACCGACAAAACCGAAAAAGTGGACAGAGGTCAGAAGACATAGGCATCCTTAAACCTGTGTGTCCTTTCCATCACCTTTGCACTGTGTGTGTGTGTGTGTGTGTGTGTCCGTGTTCTGTTTTGTGTCTGTTGTGTGTGTGTGTGTGTGTGTGTGTGTGTGTTGTGTGTGTGTGTGTGTGTGTGTGTGTGTGTGTG